TAAACCTTTATGGTGGTGAACTAATGAAAACTGCAAACTTTTGCAGTTTAGGACATTCTGAACCTTTGTGTTGACTCTTAATGTTGCAGACTTGCAACTGATTGCCAATTTTATTACAGTGGGCAGTGCCTTAGGCTACTGTGGTAAATGATAGGCTCATTTTAGCTTCAATTCTACTCAAACTTTAAATATCAGTGCCGAGCCAATGCGATGGGCTGGCTGCTTTCCAGCTTGAGGCAATTACAATTTGATCGTTGGTACATTGCGTTAAATTATTTTATAAGCGATCTGCTTAGTTAAGTCACTTGTCGACACACGTCACCATAAAATCATTTACTGTAAATTTAGTAAACGAACGAGATTTACTAAACGCACTTCTGCATAAAGCTGTTAACTTATGAAAAGTGCTGGATTGATGCACGTTGGCGATGGCAATTGAAGGAACAGTAAATTCGCTCTAATGGTTTAAAAGCCTCAGAAGACTGATCATATGCAGGCTGATGTCGTTAGTTACCCTGATATCAGTCCCGGTGTCAACCCTAAAGCGCTGGTGGAAATGCCACTTTCCCCATGGTGGATCCGATATCTCCATAAGATGACCGCTCATTACTTGCACAAAATGGTACTAATTTTATTGACTACCCTGACTATGCATGGGTATGTATTTTTCTCCATGTAGATAAGTGGGCGCTTATTAATTGTTTTCCATTACGAATTAAATTTGACTCTAGGGCTTCCTACTCGAATGGAAACAGCACTGGGCCGACACACCTCAAATTTCCCTCCCTTTTCATGCACATTTTAAAAAATAAAAACTGATTTAATTTGATGCCATAAATCACGTGTTGTTATATGCAGTTACCTCCCATTTGCACCGTGATTCAAGGTGTGTCACGAGCTGGAATCCCCCCTTCGTATGCAATCGTAAACGGTCCCACATGGTGACGCCGCAGAAATATGGCAGTCATATTATAGGGGAAATAGACTGTGTGGTCTCAACGGGCCCTCGCATGCTTCTGAAATAAAGGTCTCCCATTCCTCCTATTTCTGGGGTCCCTGAATTTAACCTCTCTTATGCAACACTGCGCATACCCGACTAATCTTTAAACTCAAAAAAGTGGTTCCCCGTGTAGCAATCGTCCGATACAGGTATACATTGCATCCGTTTGTTTTGCATAGGCCTTGTTGGCCAGGCTGAGACCCCCAATGCCCTCCACTTGAGGCACGTGGTTAAATAAACGGGTGGCTGCCCAGATTTGAACCCAAGATATCGGTGCCCTGACATTACATCAGTCCCCCGAGCCAAGCCCCCTGTCACCTCCTGAACTTTTCACTCGTGCCCTTAATAAGGCACCCTTCACCTGCAGAGGCATGCACCCTTCCAGAACGAGCAGAGTCAACGTTGACGTGTCGCAAAGGAGATCGCATTGTGTGTGTGTGGGCAGCCAGCTGATGACATTACAGCGAGTTGAATTTCTGCCAAATCTATACTTGAACCTTATGGCGGGACCCCCGGGGTCCCGAATAAACGGAAGTCAAAATCGCAATTAATTTATTTATTTTGGCGACTCCGTTCCACCGCGCACATAAACGCCGCGATCCACCTGGCACTGATCATTCTGTTGTCATGTCCAAGCGCAGCGAGGACGAATGCGCAGAAAAAAACAAAACTTTTACATTTTTATTAGCGCATAGAGTAGAGCTCATTGAGAGGAATAGTTTGCCGTATTGTTCACCTTCAACAGACATCAAATGACGTCGCAACGCAGTTTATGCGAGACCTTATGGGACCCAGGGTTCCCGCCATAAGGTTTACTCGATGGTTCATGTTTCATCTCCTCATATATGCGGCTTTTTGCTGAGCACCCCAATTTCATCTTATGTAAAAGCACTCTTTTAAAATGTGCGTATGCATTGGCCATATGTGTTGTGTGTGAATATTGTATGCGTCTTATATGAATCTTAAAACTCGGTAAGAATTTCAATACAGTTTAACACGTAGGCTTTTGCGACCAATATCCATAATAGAGGTTTTTGGGTTAAATCGCATAAATATGAATGTGTCATTAAACCCGCCACCACCCGACACAGCCAATTAGTAAGTTTTGTCACGTAAACAAAACATGCCAATTCGTTACTAGTACAGCACATCGGTGTGGTGGAGAGTAAACCAACAACATTTACAATTCGTGTTCGACGTTGTGCCAAGAATCACAACCAGCATCATCAGGTGATCGCCAGAAATGTGGAGAAATTTTACTTATTGGCTGTGTCAGGTGGTGGTAGCTTTAACGACACATTTATATTTACACGATCTAATCCAAAAACCTATATTATGGATTCAATACAAATGAAATGGCACAAACTAGACAATGTAAAAAAATGCGTGTTCCAACAACAGGATTAGTTTTCATTTCATTGTTTACCTGATACTGCAATGTCATTAGCCAATAAGCCGATGGACTTATATTTTATTTACATGTGGAGATAGAACCGATAATGTTCCACAACAACACACAATGTGTTTGTGTACAATATTGCATTCGCCATTGAACATGGCCCCATCATTAGATTGAGGGCCCCGCAGCACTTGCGTAGCAAGCCTAACTTAGCTGATGAGAGCTCGAAGGTCGAAGCCAGTCCAGAGTTTGCTTGCTTAACTAATGCTGTTGGTTAATATTTGTCTGGAAGACAATAGGCTGATGGGGTAAAAAAATAAACATTTTATATTCGGAGACGCAGAATGGAGTTCTGATTATATTTGCATTCACTAATAGTGTGTCATTTCTGAATGAGCTGAGACCATTTACTGCTGCAAAACCATCTCAGCGCAAGATGACATTCTCAATGAACCCTTATCGGGATAGCTTGCTACAGACGTGCCCTGTGTTCTCGGGGTGTTGTAGGTCACCGCACTTTGCCAGCGCTAATATCTGGGGTCGTTGTCAAAAGAGTGTCATTTAATATTCATGCATAGGTGCATTTTTTTAGCACCACATGAATATTAAGTGATTATTTAGGAGAAAAACAGTTGCACATGCAGACATGTTATATTTTCCTTCCATTTTCTTCCATACAGAAATGTAAACACGCCGCATTTAAATGGACTTTGTTTTTAAGCTGACACAGGTTTTTTTTTTAGTTTTTTTCGTGGCATTTCACTGTAGCACAAATGCTCAGCGTGTTTTGTTTACAATTAACTCATTACGTTTTTTTTTTGCTTAAATACACAAGTGAAACGAGCTTTTGGTTTCTAGCCGATAACTGACATCTACAAGAAATACAGCCCTTCCCAGCTCTGTGATATCCTAGTCGGGCACATGTCATGCTGGGTTATGGCTAGTAGGACAATGAGGAGTAGCTATACATCTCTAAGTGGTTTTTGTTTGCGTGTGTTCATCACAGTTCCTGAGCACAGGTCTTAAAGCCCAAAACACCAAGCGACCAGCAACGAGCAGCACTTTAAGTTGGAAGAGAATGACTTCCGGGTTAGTCATGCAGTTATGGGGGTGGGTGCTCCTGAGGCTCCTGATCCCACAAAGCGAGTCTGGTTTTCTCTTCATACATTTCTTGAACGGAGCAAGGTTACAAGTAAGGTGACGATGAGAGGGCATTACACTGCGGAGCAGTGGGAGGGCAGTAGCAGATAGGGATATGTTACCTTCAGTGTGGTGAATAAACACAGGGTGGATGAGATGAAACAAGTCAATCTGGATGTCATTGCCAATGATTATCTAAGTCCCATTGCTCTGCTGTGCTCTACCTTATCTTTGACAGTTGTACTGCACTTGGGCAACTTACAACAGTTGTAGAATCAGACCAAAGGAATGAAATGGTAGCGATACGTTGGGGCCTCAGTGACGATGGAGATCGAACCCGCAACCTCTGGACTACAAGTCCAGTGTGCGAATAACAATTGTACTACAGCAGGAACATTCCTGTGATGTTCTGTGGAGGAAGTGGAGAATTGAGGGAGTGTAGGGAGCACATGATGCCTGGACAGTGCTGTGTGACAGTGAGGCTGATTGGCAGTACGATATGCCCCGAGAGACAGGGTTCAATGCTTGTGCTGTGCTGGAAGCCAAACATGCAGTGTCTGTGCTTGGTCCACGGGGTGATCCAAGACGTGTCCCTGCCAGGGCTTGATTCTCCCGTGTGGCTGTGCGAGATGGCTTTATTAACGAGTTGTCTAGGGCCAGCAAAAATAAACCATCTGGTTTCACCGGGAAGCACATGAAGTCCATGTAGAAGTGCAAATAAAATCATCATTATCAGCCGTGGTCCATCCACTGCTGCATGAAGGTATCCTCAAGCTGCTGATGCCATCTCTCGCATTTCTCCGATGTAATATATTTATACGTAACATATTCATATGAATAAATAACTGTTCTTTAGTTTATACAAGGAAGGCCTCAAGATGTATTCAGTAGACTTCCGCAATGAGTTGTTTGGCTGTTATTTCTTTCATGAGTATTTTACGTGTGGGAGGAAACTGGAGTCCCCGTCTGTCTTCCCCCCACCTCCTCCCTACTACCCTCTCCCCTTATATTTGAGATATATTCCTGTCTGTTGCATACTCGAGTAATAATAACGCTGAATCTACTTTGATGTTTCTGTAACTCGTGTTTATTATGAATGAGATTTTTTAAGCAATTTGTCCAAGTCTACTTTAGTCAATATGTAATGTGTTACATTTCATATTGACTATATTTGCATGCTGTTTTATTTTTTCTTCTGCAAATGTCGTTATTTTTGCTTGATTTCGATCATTTTTTTCCATTTATTTGTGGTTCTTTTTCTGATTTCTGTTTGCTTAATTGGTGTCCTCAGTTTTGATGTTACTGCTTTTGTCATTTGTGTGACCCAGGTCAATCTTACAGATTGACCGACACTCGTCTCTCTGGGGGTTCTCGCCCATTTAACGCCAACATAAATGCGAGCTTGACACTATTTTCTTTATCTGTACCCCCATGCACTCCTGTCACCCCGTCCCCACGCAGTACCTGCAGTTCCGGCTGGCTGAGATGGCCACATCTCTGGTGGCATCGAGGCTCATGATCCGGAACGCGGCACGAGCGCTGGACGCGGGCGACCCAGCTGCCGTGCCACTCTGCGCCATGGCCAAGCTCTTTGCCACCGACGAGTGCTTCAAGGTTTGTTCCTCGGTGCCACGCCAGAGCCTGCGATTGCAGTGCATTTGCCGCAGAGTGGCACAGAGCTTCATAGCTCATCAGATTTCTCCAAGATAAATAAAGATTCGGATTCTGACCTGCCTCACAATCATACAGACAGGGGGCTATGAGATCCAATGATGGGGTGGAGATCACCCCCCCCCCCCCGACACTCCTTAATTTAGACCTCAAAGTTGAGGTGTTATTCAGGATTACCAGTGAACAAATTTGCTATTTCAGGACCATTCTCCACTAGGGAATCCTCAAGATCTGCATCTCCGGGGGTTAACAAAATGTGCACTGCTTTGTGGGAAGTCACCAGTCATTGTGTAGAACTGGCCTCTGCCATGAGCTCAGGGCTGCTAAGGGATAGGAGTGCCAAGCAGTGCTCATTGGATAAGAGGTTTGCTTTTGAATGTTGAATTCAGTGAGCAGGTGGTGCAACCCAGCGATTGCTTGTTAACACCATACTTTGCAAGCTATTGTCATCTATACTTATGTTTTTGTACAGTGCAAATGTGAAGCGAGCAAAGTCTATATTTTCCATTTATGGGCTGGGCCAATGGTGGAAATTCCATGTCTATGACAGGGGCCAATCACTCAACAGTAAGACACTACTATTGACCTTCTACAAATTTTAATAACCCTAGAGGGATGAAGGGCTGAGTTGATCTCTGACCAGGATTCCAAACTTCACAATATGAGTCGTGTACTCTGTGCCACCTGGCCTGTTCTCATCATCATCATTCGTGACTTCCGAGTTCTCAATCGACCAATGTGTCCAATTCATGAAATATCTGGGCATTATAAATTGAGGTTATTATTATTATCATCAACCCACTGCTGGCTGAAGGCCATGATACAGCTATGTGATAATGCACCCAGCACCTGCATATGAACCGACTTCATTGCTCCGTTATACATGTGTATATGTAAGTTGTACTTCTATGCACCGTGCGTAGCCAACCGTGCTAATCGGAGGTGCGGGGGACGGACATACAAACTAAACACAAAAATCATTTCTCAAAGAAAGGAGTTTTCAATCGAGATGTAAAAGTACATAGCTCCAGTGGCTTCTTAATATCAGAAGGAAGAGCATGCCAGACGGCCTCAGAAGCACATCTGAAAGCACGCGATGCTGTGACCATCTTTGTTCGATGGCCAGCCAAGAGCCAGTGTGAGGATGACCCGAGTTTGTGTGATGGTTTATGCTCCTTGATGAGATCAGCAAAGTATCGTGGTTTATTTGCGGCAAAGACTTTGTGTGTAATGCTCCATCTCCTTGGTGGATGGCTCTGGGATGCATTCACTTCCTTGGTTGCCACTCCGTTGTTATTCTTGACCACCGTCCATCATCCTTTCAGTTTATTTACAGCTAGTAATTTACATTAAAATATTATACGTGTGTTCTTTAATTCGTCTTTATTCCAGTGGACATATTCCATCATCTAAATGTGCAGAATCTGGTGCAGTCTTTGAAACTTTAAATTTACATTAAATAGAGCGTAGCAATAGAGGCCTTCAGCATTAAAATGGAACTGCATTATGTCCCGTAGCCTTTGGCGAGAGAATATAAGTGGTGTCTTTGATGGTACTTGCACAGGATGTTAATTTAAAACATTTTCAAATGCCCATTAGCTAGAACTAGCGATGCTGCCACAGACATTCACATTAACATTTGTCTGTGCTCTGACTTTGAGGAGGTGAGATCTGTTTTGAAGTAATAACATACCGAGTGAGCAGAAACTTTCTTAAGCAAAATTGTATTAATGCCGGGCAATAACTGCATAAAATATAGTTATTTTTTTCTTACATTTTTTACAGGGCTTATTAATGAACGAGCTGGAACATTGGTTCCAGTGCTTGAGATGGATTGGCTGAAATAATGCGTAGCCATTAGCGGACCTCTAATGGTGCATGTGTAGTGAGTTCAACTGAGTCGCAGACGTACTCTTTGGAGGCAACACATTTATAAACACCAACACACACGGGGTAACTGCCCCTTAACAGAAGAACAACCTATGGTGGTGACCACCAGGCTAACTACACTAATTACACCGTAACTTGCTACGTTACCACCAGGCTAACTACACTAATTACACCGTAACTAGCTACAACGGACCGGACCACAGCTTGGGTCCCGGCCCAAGTGTTGGAGACTCTGTAGGACGTAGAACGTAGATTTCTTAAGGATAAACAACAGCAGCCGGTCCCTCTGGGGGACCCGGCTGATATCCTCTGCGGCATGGCTGGCTCCGCCCCTGGCCACAGCCACCTTCCAGAACCCTCCAGTAGGATCTCGACCCGGACCACGTGACCACCCCTAGCCCCCACCTGAGACCCTTTGTAGACTTAACCGGTCACGTATCCTCTCGGGTCAACCGCCGGAGTGCCATGGCCTATAGTAACCCCGTTCCTATGGCTGGCACTTCCACACCCTACCCTGTAGGGCTGGCACTGCACGCAGAGCGTCGTGCCATCCAGCGCTATCACTCAGCGCTCACCGAGCCCCTCTAGGGCCGGTACTGCACCCACATCCAAGTGGTGTCCGCGATGTTGTTACACCGCACGCTGTGCCTCTCTAGGGGCCGGCATTACACAGTGAAATGCCACGATGTCACTACACATGGATTGCCATGATTTGCAGTGCGAATTGGTACTTTTTTGCCTCACGTATCCTGTCCATCTGATTTGTACTTTTGGCACCATCTGAAATGTCTCATTTGCACTGTCATGTCGGAGACATTTATCCCGTTTGCACCATCTCGTACTGTCGATACAATCCCGTCTCATTTGTCCTGTCCATCTTTGTTTGTTCTGGCTCTCATGCTGGGTCTCATTTGTACGGTCGGATCTCTACGGTCTCATTCGTACCGTCGGATCTCTACGGTCTCACTCGTACCGTCGGATCTCTACGGTCTCATTTGTACTGCCTCGTTTGAGGCATCTGTCTTTCTCGTTCTCATTCCTTGTAAAGCATTAACCCCAAGGAAACACGCACACAACAGTTGCGTGAGTTCTTAAAATAATATCACGTTGAATGCAAGATATGTTGCATTTTCCACTGCATGAAAGCGATTGCCCTTCCACTCGGCCTTTGGCAAAAACAGGGGGCCTTCTATTTTGTTTTCCGTTTAGCTTTGCTCATGAAGGAGTTGGTAGGGTTTGTTGAATTTTGCCAGAAAGACAGTTTTCACAGTCAACCCCTTAAATTCCCTATAGGCGACATTAATACATTTTGAGAATGGTTGGTTGGCACGATTTGAAACCCAAGAACTGGTCTTAGAATCAAATTTGTAGCCACACGTAATTAAACTGCATGCGCAAGTGCAGTGATTGAATGTGCTCAGCTCGGTAACCAAAAGACTGTGCAAAGAGTCATTATATCAAGTCTGGCATATTCCAGCTGTGAGAACTCAACATTTTATATTGGTTTCCATGCGAAGAACACGCTTTGCAGTGCATATAAAGATACACTCCCAATTTTGGATTGGAAGCAAATTGAAAGTTAAAGTATTTGCTGAAACGAGTGTGGAATGATGGTCATTCTCATTTGTGGCACTGGGCCTGAAATGAAAATTCCACATTTCCATGGTGAGGACGATCCATCCATAGAACAACTGCTATTGACTTCTCACAGTGTTGAATTTGGTTTGTATATCCTTCGGGGCTGTTGGAGCCCGATTGGAATTTTAAATAGAAATGTTCTGATTGTCGGTCATGACAACATTTTCCACAGTGCCATCTAACAGCTATGCAACTTATTGAGAGAGAATGTTTTGATTGGCGTGTATGCGGAAATTGTTATGTTAATACACGCGCTGGGTATGGCAGCAATGTGTCCCATTACATTTAGAGAGGGAATCAATCGTTCATTATCCCAAGTTTCTCGCCTGACTTTGATTGATGATGTTTTCATCAACAATTTTTATTTGGTATCACGACTCAGTAGTTTTTTTTTTAAACTAGCAGTCGCTGCATAAAATACAACAAACATTGACAATATGGGGTTGTAAAGTAAAACATTGGCTGATATTGTATACTCCAAGGCACAAAAAATGGAAGATTAAATTAATTGTTTAACATGGGAGAGGTGGGAACAGGTTGCCCATATTATCATGTCTTGGCAGTTCACTTTCGGTGGTGTGGAATGTGCGTTCATAATTTATATGCTGTACTTTATTCATTTTTTCCGCCCAACTTCAGATAATTGACAGGTGACATTGGGAAAGTTAATCACATCTTTTTTTTCTCAAGAAGAGTCGAAAGGTCTGCTAATAACACACACCACTCTTTATCTTTATCATATCACATTTACTTTCTGTAATAATACGAATATAATTCTGAGAATTAATAAGCACATCGGCTATTCTAAAGTATTGCAAAGGAATAATAAATTTCAGCCATGTCAGTCCACTGCTGGATGAAGGACCACCCCCCCCATATCATGTAGTGAGATGTTAACTATGGTGGCAAGATGTCAACTACCTTACCTCCTATATAGGGTTCGATCCCGACCCTGATGCCTGTATATTTGGAGTTTGCATCTTCTCCCCGTTGTCATGTGGAATTTTCTCCGAGTCCTCCGGAATTTTTCCCTCTGCATTCAGAAACATGCATTTCGAGTAATTGGCTGCTATGAATGTCCAGATATTGAGCTATCATTTGTGACGAGGCCACTTCTGAAAAAGAGCTACATAGCTCAGTGGGCCTTGGCAAAATAACATAAAAACTGATTTTTTAAAAAATAAGTGTTGGTCGTGGAGATTTATTTGACCATATTGGTCAGTGTGAATCAATGAAGAGAAGGGTGGCCATGTTCTTACGAATGGTTCAGATGTCACCCACCACTGATGCGAGTCGTGTGTCCACTGCTCGCCTCTGTTGGTGTCACTCTGCTTGTGATGGAGATTCCACATTCACATTACAGGAGCTATTCTCTTCACAAGGCAAGTACTGCTGAGTAGCCACTAAGAAGAACT